ACTATGTTATGGTCAATTGGTCATGGCACGGGCACTTTTTTTTTTGTTTCAATATGACCGGAGAGAAGGAAAGTCGGTGTCCACATATATAAAAGGAAATGATCCCAGATCTTTAGCAGATCAAAACATGGAGAGGAGCCCTAATTATTTGTAAACTGAGATTCATCAACTCCTTTGCACAAACCATAGAAGAGGAAATATACAATTGGAGGTACCTTGTGCACGAACCATCGCTGGACACCTGCTGATGGTGGGGAGATGCTGATCTTGCATATGTGTTGAACGAAAAGTGCAGAAACATACTTTCTTTCTGCTTGAAGCTACTGATACATGTGTACAGATCGAAAAGGAGGCTTGAAACTTGGTAGTAAAAGTAAAAGAGATCAACAAAAACACAACATTTTACCGCCAAAAGTTTTTTTGTGCTAAAGCACTGTCATAGGAAAAAAGACAGACACTGGTTTCCTAAAATTAAACTGATTAACCCAAAAAATATATAACATGCTTGTCAAGGTAACAGTATAGTATGTATCCTTGGACAGATCACAATCTAGAGTTATCAAATATTAATCATGGCATTAACCTGCAGATCACTGGTTTTGATTCATTGTCTTTTATTCATGCAATCGTTCTGTAAATGAGGCAGCAAGAACTATTGCAAAAACTGCACAACATAGTATTTGGTTCTGTAGGGTAACATGTAAAAAGAAGTATGCACATACTATTAGTGCTTGGTAGGGGATGATACGAAAGCTTAAGGCATGAGTCTGCACTGATTTTCCCCTACAAATAGCAACGGATGGCTCAGATGGTGGGGACGCTGGGAAAAAGGATAAGCATGCATCAGTGTACTGAATAACTGTGCAGTACAATGTAGGCAAACATGTTGCACATGTCGTATATGCATAGCTGGCAAGAGGAGTACAAATACCATGGGAAAAGGTGGCATTAGTGGAGCTCGGCATACTTTCAGTAAGTATAGTAGAAAGATGCATAAGTGCCTGAAGATACCGCACTTGGGATCTTGATGCTGTTTGTCCAGGGGCTGATAAGCAATCAGGTGGTTGCTGCCTCATCCTTTGGTACAAAACGTGCCTACAGTATGTTTTTAAGGAATTAAGCTGTGTAGTTGGGCACTCAAAAGCAGTAGAATGGAATGGTAAAGGGAGGCTTGTTTAGAGCACACAGGTGTACATGAACAAATTAATCGTAGCTGGCCTGGTGTTCATGAACAAATCAATCGCAGCTCACAGCCTTGTATGAGCAGCGCAAAAAAGAAACTAATAAGATGGAGGGCATGGAAAAAAGGGAGAGCAAATTAATAAACTCATTCTGGTGTCTAATATCAAGTATGCAAACATTTATGATGAAAATGAGTACTAACTTTGTCTGCCTCTCTGTGGCATGATTGGCAAGGATCCTAAAGTCTTCTTAACATTAAATGAGAAGTTATATAAGGATTTTAGGTTTGTTCAATCTGCTACCTCAATCCATGGCATCAGATTATTGAGAAGCAATAAAAATATGTTAGAGGTTCGTACGGTCTTACCGCTTGAATTTTGTTAAGAGCATTGGAAATAATGTTGCTTCACTGGTAATGAAAATAGGACACTTACTAATAGATGTTGAATCTTTAGGAGGTTGGTATGCTCGTACAAATGCACATGCACTAAATTGGCATCTGCACATAACATCGGAAAATGAGAATAGAGAGGGAAAAAAGGGGGACGCTGCTGGTCCACTCACCGTGTGAAAGCCGCCGCTGCAGGAGCGAGCAAGGGCGAAGCGCCATGAGGGAACGCCGCTGTCACGGGGCTGTGCCGCGGCGACCAAGATGAGTCGATGCGGGCCGGCACCGCTGCGTGGCCGCGCCACGCCTCGGCGACGATGGTGTGGTGTCGGTGCAGGAGCGCGCGAGGACGAAGGGGCAGGGGCCACGGGACCTCACCGCCGCGGCCAAGGCAGGCGGAGGCGGGCGTGCGCTGCCGAGGAGCCGGACGGTGGCGGGCTGGAGGCGGCGCCGTACGGATCGATGCACGCAAGGCCGTCAGGATGGGGAAGGGCATAGTGGCCGCCGTCCGGAGGGGATGGGGATGGGCACCACCACCATGATCTCGGGGAGCAGGGCCAGCGGCGCGGCGGCTTTGGTGTCGCATCCGGGGATGCATGCCTGTGGCGGGTGCGGGCGGGTACGGGCGCAGGGTGGGCGCGATGGGGGCTCGGCGGCGGCGCGGCCAGAATCACGGGAGCGAGTTTTGTTTCATTGGAGCGATGTTTCTAGGCGCGGAGAAAGATCGGCAGGCAGGACGATGGACGAATGTCGCACCAAAAAGTATTCATGCATTGTTCTTTTTAGTTGCAGGAGATATACGTAATACCACCTGCAGCTTGTGGTTAGAGTTGGTCGGGGCTTTATGCTCTGGGTGCTGGCACACTTCTCTTATTGGGCATTGGCCTTCTTCGATCGGCGGACGAAAACGATGATGACATCGATTGGTAGTGATGAGCTGCGTGTTTAGTTCGGTATATATACATGCGCAAGCATCAAAGCACGCAGACGCACATACGCATACACTCGTACAACATGCTGCATGCACACGTCCTTGCATTGGTGCGTACATCACTTCGTGCATGCTGCTTTGCTCTGAATGAGCTCCGTCTTCTTTCTTACGCCATGCATCGATAATTTATTTATCTGATGGCGACCCCATCTTCGTCAATCGTCATGCCAATTGCCAAGTGGGCGGTACACGATTTCCATCAGGTATATGCGGTGGCAGTCAACAATATACTACACTAGCAGAAATGATACTAGCATGTATAGGACCCAAAATAATAGTATCAAAAGATATCTATCTAAAAAAACTTGAGGGCACTGTTGGACATGGTATGCCACAGAAACCCTTCTTTATATATATATATATGGAGAGTATATTTAGTAGCCAGCTACAAAATAAGTTATTCTGTAGCCACCTCCATTTACAATAATTTTATATATTAATTTATGATAACGATAATGTCAATACATATTTATGATAGTTGGGTTACTATAACACATGGGGATATTTACCATAACGTTACAATAAACCACTTAGTAATTAACGTAATTCAAAGTGGCTACAGAATAAGTTATTTTGTAGCCTGCTACAGGGTAGTAGTTATATATATATATATATATATATATATATATATATATATATATATATATATATATATATATATATATATACACACACGTCATCATCTATCCGGTGATACCAAATCTCAATCCCTGCTCAAGAGTCCATGTCTGATACGAATAAAACTCCACTCGGAGCTCACGCGTCCACATCCTACCCGGTTCCGATACGAAGAATAGATCCACGTGTCCGCGGCCAATACAAAGTCCTCCGAGCTCAGACGTCGACGTCCGATTACTGAGGTTAAGTTAAAAATACGAAGAGTAAGGGAGGATGCCTTTCAGAGCTGTAGGAATTGTAAATGGGCTGTATTTTTTTAGGGGGTAAATGGGCTGTATTGGTTGATCAGCCTACAGTTCGATCGCCACTTGGGCCAAATGACACCTAGCTGCACAGCCCATACAAGGCTTCCTTCCGGAAAAATTGGCTATGTACCATCAAAAGATTGCATGTTTGGTAATGTACCATTAAAAGATTGGTTCTTTGATATATACCATGGAAAGATCACAACGTTATAGATCGATAGTATTTCTGTTAACTTTGCTATCGCCGTCCGTTCTGTGTCTCTTTCTCTTTCCACTTCGGTCAAGCGACCAGTGGAGGTGAGGAGAAGCCGCGATGGCGCTCCGATGTGGCCGCACGAAGGCGTAGAAGCAGCATTGGGTTCGGAGCACCCGGAGCCTCGCCGTCACCGCGGAGGAAAGTGGCGGGCCGCGCGGGCAAAAGAGATGAGCGCAGCGAAGCAGCTCCCCGTGTGCGGCAGCGTGGTCCCCGCCCCCCGTGGCCTTGGTCGCGACGACAAAGTTCCGGGGGTGGCTCGCGCGCCACCGCCTACGCGGCCACCTGCGCGGCTCGCGCGCCATCGCCTGCGCAGCCGCCTGCAGAGCTCGCGCGTCGCGCGGCCGCCGGGGAGCTCGTGCGTCTTTCTCGCCCTGCTCCGCGTCCGCCTACCCCGCCGAGGGAGAGCCCCTCTCCACGTCCGCCCAGCACGCTAAGGAATAGCCTCATCGTGCACTCGTGCTCCACACGCTTGCCAACATCAGCCTGTTTTTTTTGTTCTTCTTCCTCGTGAGCCCCGAGCTGAACCCAGCCGCGCCCTGCCGCACAGGACGCAGCGCACTCACCATCATCATGGCTGGCATCTCGCTTCCCTTCGCGTTCGGCAGCGGCTTCCCGACCGTGTGGGACGGGGACGGGAGTCACGGGACGGCTACCCCTGCCGCGGCCGCAGGTGGTTGGAGCTAGAGCCGAAGCCGCCTGTCTCCATGCGCGGGGCGGGGTCCTTGGCGGCGCGAGTGTGCGGACGCAGACGCGGAAGACGCTAGGCGGGCATGCAGCGCGAGCATGGACAGGCAAAGGATGGCCCCCATGGCGAAGCGCCGCTTGCTGCCAAGGTCACCGTCAGCAGGGAGACCGCTGGATCCTTCTCGCCTCGCTCATGTTCCTCCCCGAGACCGGTCCTGCTGCCCCGCCGGCCTTTGCCTCCCGGGCTGGCAGTGGCGAGTGCCAGGCCAACCCAACGCCATCCTTGCCTGCTGCGTGCCCGTGTTCTTCGTGAAAAGGCTTCGAAGAAGACGACATGAGAACAGAGATACAACATGACGTTAGCGAAGTTAACAGAAGTGATAGAACCAACAATGTTGTGACCTTTCGATACTATACAACAAAGAAGAAATCTTTTAACGGTAGATAGCTAAACTTAAGTCTTTTAATGGTAGCCAGCCAATTTTCCCCTTCCTTCTTGACAAGCACAGCTAGTCGCAAACTGCCGACCAGCGACTGCCGACCTCCAGCGAGTCACACTGCTCACCAGTCACCGCCATGGCGGGGAAGCAGTTCCCCTCCCCGGCGCACTCGCGCCCCGCGTCAGCCTCCTCCCGCCGACTCCTCGCCGTCGGTGCCGCCTCCCTCATACTCCTCACCGCTTCCTACTTCCTCCTCCTCTCCCCCTCCTCGCACCAACCCGCCCCAGCCATCCTCGCGAGCCCTAGCGCCACCACATCCTTCCTCGCCTCCCTCGACCGCTTCCTCCCCGACCCGCATCCCTCTGCCTCCGCCTCCCCCGCCGCTCCCGGCGAACTTGACGCCGCGATCCGGGTCCAGGAGGAGGCCCGTCTCTACGGGGACGACCCCGCGTGGCCCGCGCCGGCCGCGGGGCCGCTCAGGGTCTACGTCTACGAGATGCCGAGCAAGTTCACGTACGATCTGCTGAGGCTGTTCAGGGACTCCTACCGGGACACCGACAACCTCACGTCCAATGGGAGCCCCGTGCACCGCCTCATCGAGCAGGTGGGCGTGCGGTGAGATCGAATTGCAATTCTGTTCCGTCTTCTACTTTTCTTTAGCTACGATACTATGAGACGCGTACTTCGCGATTTGGTTGTGTAGTGTGGTGGATCGTGACGAGAGAAGGTGATTTACCCGTAATGCTGAAAACGTTCAGCACATTGATTCACGTAGATTATTTCCTGGTTGGAAGTGGGGTAATTGTACTATCCTAGTCTCCTTTCTGATGTATCTGCTCTTTGATGCTTTGGAATTTGGAAGGCTTGGAGATGTTGCTGAAATGGGTTGTGAACTTGTATACTAGATCTCTAGAGCTGGTAGTCTCCAATCTGCTGTAGCATGGGTCAACTACTGCTTTCAGAAATAGTGCATTTTGACTAGTGAGACTTTAATATGCTCATGATATTTCGTTATGGAAAGTTTCTGTTGTGAGGTGAATGTGATTTAGATTAGAGTACTATGGAGTACATCTTATTCTTAAACCAGTTTCAGAATTCCTTTTTTGGACCATACATGACTCTTGGCATTGTTTTGGGTGGCAAGGCAAAGTTCATACCACAAGCAATGCACTTTGGTTTCACAATTCTAGCTACAGATATAATCTTAGATTAGCACTTGATTCTATGCATTGGATTCAAAATGATATGTCTCTTGCATGCTACAGTTTAAGGCATATTGTGTTACAGCTAAAGATCATGTGTGTAATCATGTAATTAAATATCACATAGTTTTTAAGATATTGAACTTTATCCATCTGTCTATACAATCAAATTGTTTTTGCGTTCACATTTGCAGCATTCTATTGACTACTGGCTGTGGGCGGATCTCATTGCACCTGAATCACAAAGACTTTTGAAGAGTGTTATTAGGGTTCAGCGGCAAGAAGAAGCTGACATTTTCTATGTGCCATTCTTCACGACAATCAGTTACTTCCTGCTGGAGAAACAAGAATGCAAGGCACTTTATAGGGTCTGGGAGCATCTCTTAAGGTTTATTTTTCAGAAAATTGTTTGCTTGAGGACACCCTCATGGACAGACTAGTGTTTATGACTTTATGTAGGCAAATTTGTTGATGAAATTAAAATCTGATCCTTCCTTTTGGTTTCTGTCATTCAGTTATTGAAGAGTGTTGGGTTTGTTTCTCCAATTATATCTGAAATTGTAATGACAGATAACATTGCCTGAGTTTGGTTCTATTGACTCTAGGAAAATTATTTAAAATGTTTATCTCTGTGGATGGATATTAGTTTATTATTTATTTGCCTCAATTTATTCCAAGAGGACCTTATCATCATTACTCCTTGATGCCAGGAAGCTTTAAAGTGGGTGACAGATCAGCCTGCTTGGCAACGTTCAGAAGGCAGAGATCATGTCATTCCTGTTCATCATCCATGGTCATTTAAGTCAGTCCGGAGATTTGTGAAGAAGGCAATATGGCTTCTACCTGATATGGACTCCACCGGGAACTGGTTTGATATTCATTGTTTGCCCATTTCCACTTTACCTTGGAAAACTACTTGAGTGCATCACTTTACCGTCTTATTTCAGGTATAAACCTGGACAGGTATATCTAGAAAAGGATGTCATCCTTCCATATGTTCCAAACGTTAATCTTTGTGATCATAAGTGTGTATTAGAAACTCAATTCAAAAGAAGTATATTGCTGTTCTTTCGAGGAAGACTGAAGAGAAATGCTGTAAGTCTCTTGGTACCACTCCCTAGGTTTTTATTGTTTTGAATATATGCATGCAAACTTCCACTTTTACTTGCCGTACCCCCTTTGTAGATCGTCTAAGTTTTGTCCTAAGTCAAATCTCTCTAACTTTGACCAAGTTTATTAAAAAAATGCCCCAACGTCTACAGCATGAAATTAGTTTCATTAAATCTGCCATATGCAATACGTCTTGATAGTGCATTTTTTTGGTATTGTAGGGGTTAATATATATTTTTTATAAACTTGATCAAAGTTAGGAGTTTGACTTAGGACAAAACTAAAATGACCTGCATTTTGGAACGGAGGGACTATGTTTGTATGTATCTATTTTGTTGACCTTTTTTTATCTCTTATTATAGGGAGGAAAGATCCGCAGTAAACTTGTGGAGGAACTAAAAAGTGCAGAAGACATAGTCATAGAAGAAGGTTCTGCTGGAGCTCAGGGAAAAGCAGCAGCTCAGGATGGCATGCGCAAGTCTCTCTTTTGCTTGAGTCCGGCTGGGGATACCCCATCTTCTGCTCGCCTGTTTGATGCAATTGTTAGTGGTTGTATTCCAGTTATAATAAGTGATGAGCTGGAGCTTCCATTTGAAGGAATACTTGACTATAGGGAGGTAAAGATGGCAATCCAGGCATCTTTTAATATCATTAACTAATGCAAGATACATTAAACAATTTCTTCTATAGTGGTAAGGTATTTCAAGATAGGCACAAGCCCAAAATTTGATTAGCTGCACAGAAAATGAGGGACCTCTTGGTAGTTGAGTCCCCATAATAGAAACAAATACTGTACATCAGTACCCTTAACAGTAGCAGTGTAGAACTGATAGTTGCATATTTATTGATAAAATGACAGTTCTGGTATTCTGTTCTCCATGACTACAGATGATTTAAAAGTACAGTTAAGTGACCTCTTTCCTTTGACATTTACGGACCTCGGGTATGATCAGTTCTTTAATGAGCTGAGATATAGCTCAACTGGACAAACTATCCATGGTTGCCTTGTCTTTTTATTTAACTGCATGCTTTATTAGCTAGTTATTGGAGCAGTTAAAAGTGGGATGATGGGAAATTGCAGTAATTTTACTGCTGCTAGTCTTGCCGCTGAGAGTGAACTTATTTGGCTCTCCGCCAAGAGCAAATTATTCCTTATTGGTACAAGTGAGCATGCCTTAGAAGGTTATCCTTTTAGGTTCTTTCCAACTCCCTAACCTAGGGTGCGCTCGGTACTGCTTGCTGTGGCTGCAGCTGCAGCTGCTGCAGCCACAGCAAAGCAGTACCGAGCAAGCTGCTAGCTAAGTAAGGGTCGCAGAGATCCAAAAAGTACCCCTTGGTTTGGGCTCCAATAAGCCCTTGAGGCTAGGAGCTTCTAACATTCTAGTCACTCTGAAAAAAGGTGTACTTCAGGATTGTTTCGTTGATATGCACTTGCATTGTGATGTAACGAAGAAGGTACCTTGGCTATAATGGTCACTATCAACAAAGGGGAGGTGTATTGGCGATACTGATCGAGAGTACACTAAAGAGAACATGCCTATCACAGACACTGTAATCCAAACTACTGTATGCTATGTGGATGCATGCAGATGCAGCAGATTATGATCGCAGTATGCTGGAACGGCAATATCACAGTGTCAAGATTTCTTTTGACCCTGTGGTTGACTGGCTATAGCAGATATTTCATTGCATCTCACCGTTTCTCATGTCCATTTAAGCTGCCGTTGTTCAAAACACCTTTGCGCTCTATTGTGAATCTGCAATGCGAATAATGAGCTTTATCGTGCAGATAGCATTGTTTGTTTCATCGAGTGATGCTGTGCAACCTGGCTGGCTCGTGAAGTACCTAAGAGGAATCGATGCCAAAAGAATAAGAGAAATTCAGTCTAATCTTGTGAAGGTGATCTCTTTATCCAACTCTTAACTGTACATATAGACCTGAAGGTTCATTATTGATGACTAATAATTTACTCCTGATTCATTCACAGTATTCAAGACATTTTCTGTATTCAAGTCCTGCCCAGCCTCTTGGACCAGAAGACCTTACATGGAGGATGGTAATTTCGTTGACATTATTCTAGCAGTAGCATCCGTGAATGTGTATTATGGAATGTCTTATCTTGCTACATCATCTGTTTAGATTGATGACATTCCCGCTACTGCATGTTCAATTCTCCTAAGTTTTAAGGATGTTAACTGTTTCATTTGCAGCTGCATTTGTATTGCTCATAAATCTTGTGGGTTCTATTTATAGAGCACATGTTTTATTGTAATCATTTTGACATTTCAAACTAAAATGCAGATTGCTGGCAAGGTGGTAAATATCAAGTTGCAGATTCGTCGTTCTCAACGTTTGGTCAGAGAGTCAAGGAGCGTATGTACATGTGAATGCAGAGTTGGGAACACCACGAGGATGCTTTGACCAATATTTTCATTTGTGTCTTTAGACTTTTGTAGCATAGGCATTTTTTTGTTACCAATGGGGCGAGCTTAGTTTGGCAAAATTTGCCAATGTATTTGTAAATGCAAGTATGCTGTATGCAACCGTAGTCATGTACCCAATGTATCAGTTGGAGCTGCAAAGAGTGGTGATACTGTATTCCGAGAAATCTTAACATGGCAGAGATCCCCACTAGGCACTAGGGTTCTGTTTGTTTTATTCTGCCTGGCGCAGGCACCTAGGCGGCTGGGGCCAGGATGCAGCCTGGCAGGCGAGCTGCCTAGGCGAACTTAGCCTTTTTAGTTCGCAAAATTTGGATTTTGGACTATTGTAGCATTTTCGTTTTTATTTAGTAAATAGTGTTCAAACATTGATTAATTAGGCTTAAAACATTCGTCTCGTAATTTTCCATTAAACTGTGCAATTAGTTTTTCTTTTTGTCTATATTTAATGCTCCATGCACGGGCCGTAAACATTCGATGTGACAGGTACTGTAGCAACTTTTTGGATTTTGAGGTCCAACTAAACAAGGGCTTATTTTGTAATTATACATAGTGTTATTTTCTTAATTACCGTACTCATTTTTTACAATAATTACTGTACACAGTTAAAACAGCATCAAGCAAGCGAACAACAACATTGTCTAGGCTAAATATAACATCAACTACGTTGGGTTTTACGGAACCTTTTCTGGTAAATTAATCAGGAAACCGTCAAACATATGGAATTACGGACAACAGCAAATGAATCCATTTGAGTTCTTTTGCCCTGTTCGCTTAGCTGATAAGTCATAGCTGAAAGTACTATTGACTGATTTATTATAAGAGAAAAATACCGTTCATTGACTGAAAAAATACGACTTATAAGCAACCAAACAGGGCTCCAAAATCATGGGAGGCCGGAACAACAGGAAAAACAATCGAAACACCATCGTAAAGGCCCTCGTATATACATTCCAAGACACCAACTGAAACCAAACAATAAACGAGAGAACCAAACAATAAACGAGAGAGTTCAGATAACCATTCAACCATCATATGTCAGCATAACAGCAGTAATCTGAATATCTTACTTGAATTCATAGTTGACGACAAGGGTTCAGTAACTTCAGTTAAACCACCTTAAGGGCCAAAGCACTAAATGCTCTACAAGTCTACACACTATACAAAATTGATCTTGCAAGACCAACAATCTCCCCCCACAAAAGGAACAGTTGTGCGCTAATTGCTAAATGGGCATCTAAAAGCTTGACATTAATTAATTTAATGGTTCCACAATGACAGAGTGATGTAAGCCATTCGAACAGTCCTACTTTTCCTTCAGATTCCACCAAAAAGGATCTACAAAAAATGTAAGACCATTAGTAAGAGATCGGTCCACTACATGTTTCAACAAATATAGGTGGACTTGATTGAAAATGTCACATAAAATATTTTCACATGGACTGATAATTTTGGATGATGAAAATTCGATGCTGCCTTGCGACATTAGCTGTTGAATCAGCACAACAATTTGAAGTCAACGACGACGAGAATTTGTTAACAACAAAATCCCATTCTTGAGACAACAGATATGGTCCTCGGCCTTCTGTCCAACATCATGAGACACAGTGCATGGATAAAACTTGTGTAGGATGGAAGATTCATCGACCAATAGACCAAAATTAACTAGCAGCATGGTTTCACAGTAAGAAACATCAACAGCAAACAAGCCAGACTGGAACAGTACCAACACAAACTGGTTGCCTATGAAAACTCAACCCCTTAGACGAAACAGGAACTTCATTGGTAACCAGAAGCATGGCTGATGCTCAGAACCGAAAAAAGATCAATAGAAGTTTTTACCTAGCTGATAGATTTGAATGTTGATAGATAGAATATGCATCTTCCACAGTCAGATAAAGAATCCCCGACAATTTGAGGATCCACAAAGGCAGTTCTTTGATCTAGGAGACCGTACACCACTAGAATCAGCTCCAATGTCACCATAGTCATAAGTCAACTCTGTCATTGGAGGAATATGCTTCAAAGCAAAGAACATGATATGTGGCCGATGATCATCTTCATGGTCAAACTGAACTGGCTGCCAAAAGACGTTAGGAGCACAACTATGGTTCATGAAACGTGAGATGTTTCCCATTCTTTTAGCACTTATCTTAATGGGTAGTCTCAAAGGTATCAGCTGAAATATCTGTGCTTTGCTCCCCAATCAATTCAGGTCCGTAATTCCATTTTAATGTCCTCTCACCAGGGCACAACGTCGGAAATATATAATCATCTTCAATATCATTCAAATTAATTTTAGCATCATCAATAACCTCACCAACATACTCGCATATAAATGAACCAGCCCGTATAGCGTCCCATGAACGAAGACCCCAGCCTCGATTACCAGTTTTAAAGACCTCAAAGTGGATCCTAACTCCTTTCTGGGTCACTCTGTTACGGCAATTGAAAGAACACCGACAGGATTCACCGCATTCATAAACCATAGTCTTGCGGCATACAAGCAATCCTGATGAGCTGTAAGGTAAGCTGCCTCCATTACGCTGTGCACAACAGCAGTTGGCATCACCAGGCAGACAAACACTAAGGCATCTGCAACCCTCTAAAGGTTTCACAGAACTGAGTGGATTCAAGTGTTCGACCTGAGTGGTATAGGTGAAATGGTGTGGCCCTTTATCACTGTCAATGTCATTAACAAGAAACACTGGGAGATTTTCTGCACCAGATGACAGATCAGGATGTAAAAAGCTGCCTCTAGTTATTGGATTCTCTACCCATTTCTGGGACATCTTCCAGATTGCAACTCCATCAGGTTGTCCTGGCTCTCGCAGCAGCTTGTACTTGAAACAAAATATTCCACTCTTCGTTTTCTCCTTCCATGACTCGTGAATCCTATAGAGGCCATCATAAATATAAACCTTGCCAGTCAAGCAACCTGGATCCTTATAGCCCCGAACCACACGGATTACATTTTTTCTGGACAAGCTCCTTTCAAGAGCCAGGTTACCCCTCTCAAGCTTCTGGTCATGCCTCTCCTCACTGTTCTTGCTATTACCTCCTGAACCGCTGTAAACCAGTACATCTGTATCATCATCGTTGTTGTCATAACCACCTGCAGCAACAATACATATTGCAACAGAATCATCCTCATCAGCAAACTTGGCAGTCATATAGTCAATTCCGGCCATGCTAGGAGCATGCAGCCCGATAATACATAGCTCCATCCTGAAGTAGAAAATGTCCCCTATTTCAACTCCAGGAACAACTCCTATCCTCTTCCCAGAGTTGGCCCTGATATTACTGGCCATCATGATGGCACTAGCCTTCAGATCTGCACGTTTGTTAGTCTCTTGTGCCTCATCCAATTGGAGATGCCTACGCCGCAATGCCTCAAAGGTCATGAGAACTGCCTCCACAGTTTCCCTAGGATCATCAGATGGAGGAAGCAACGCATTCTCATTGTCAGCAGCAGCATTCTTGTGAGAGGATTTGGGGCGCTTAACCTTCGTGCTGTTGGAGCTGTCACTTACCAAACCATCCCTCACATTGTATCTGCTGAGACGGGACGGCCTCTTGATCTTGCGTCCAGATGCTGATGTCTTGTTAGAAGCATAAGGCACATCATCATCGTCATTATCATCATCATCATCATCCAGTGATATAACAATAGGCTGTGTTGACCTGTAAGCTGAAATGGGGGTGGCGTCAATTGGGCCATTAGGATTGGCACTCACATCTGACGTCCAATCTGTTGCAGTCTGGCCTCCAGCAGCATCCTGCACACCAGTGGCGACATTCTGGCTACCAAAAGCATCCTGATCACCAAAAGTGGCAGCCTTGCCACTACCAGTATTCTGATCACCAAATTTGTGAGCCTTGCCTCCACTAGCATCCTCGCTGCCGAAAGCGAAAAATGATTTGGCAGCAGAATTGTTCCAAGCACCAAAACCCCCTTGAAATTGTCCAGCAGGAGTGACGAATATCATTGGTGGTGTGGTTGACTGGTTAAATGTATTGACACCCAGGGGTGCAGGGAACATTGGAGCCAATGTCCTCAAGGGCTTGACATCCAGAACATCCTGTTCAGGAGTAGGCATGAAATTCGATGGACGGTTCATCTCAACCTGCAGCAGTTGAGTTCCTGTGTGAAGAAAGCACAGTTAATGATCATGTCATCAGTACCTGATTAACAAAAAATGGGAAAAAAATAAACAGTGTTTAGAATTCACAAGTGACTTCCTAACTTATATTTGCACACTTCACCAAGTGACTGAGGAATATATCAGACTAAAGGATCATGGACAACACGTGGCTGCATAAGTGCATAACTAGCTGATTTGGTCTAGTCACAGAACACCTATTGTCTATTCATTTAGCCATTACAGAAAATTCAGGACATGACTGACGGCATTCTCATTTCCTAACAATGCTGAATCATCAATGATGGTTAGTTCTACCATTCAGGTGTCCGCTGAATTCCCATTTCTCAACCAGTGGTGCTTCACCTGAGTTACCTCTGGCTGATTCACCAAACCGGCAAATCCATTTGAAGCTCGGTCGGTAGGTAGGTTCCTCTCCCACTCTAGCATGCATGCCTCTCCTCCCCAAGACCAAACAAGTAGAACATTCAACAGCCAAATAAAACCCTCGTCCCCCCAAAACCAACCAACCAACCAAAAAAGAAATCATCTTCATCCAACTAAAAAGAAAGTTTCAACAAAAATGTCTGCTTTGGACGCATGAACTCCAAGATTCAAACTCGAATATGGCAAATTGTGTGTTTGTGATCGCAAACCATCAAATTTTCTCAGTACATACAGGAAACTACGATAGGAAGTAGGGGCTTTCCCCGGCAAATTTCGGAACTTTCAGACCTAAATAGGCTCTAGAAGGAAAAGAGGGGCGCGCGCAGCCTACCCAACGGCGGGTTCGCCAGGAAGTGCCGCGTTGAGGGTGGAGCAAAGCAACGCCCTTGGACTGGGGGTACTGGCCCCCTAGCTTCCGGCACCGGCGGGGTCGGGGCCTCAGGGGCGAGAGATGAGAGCCGAAACGCGTGCGACGGTGCGAGAAGGGAAACAAAGACAAGCGACCGGATTGATTCGTGGAAGCGAGAGTTTGCAAGCGGAGGGCGACGGTCTCGAGAAGTCGCGCACCGATGTAGCAGTGCAAGGAACAAGGAAGGGCCCCTCACCTGATCACCGCTGCGGCTGCTTGGAGTGGGCGCGGACGAGCGGAGCGGAGGCTAGACGGACTCCATGACCGATGAGCGCGTGATCTCCTGGGCGGCGGCTCTCGGCGGCGGGGGGAGGGACGGACGGAGGGAACTGGTTGTGGTTTGGCACTTGGGGTGGGACGGTCGGTCGGGGTTTTTCTCCTCTTCTCCCCTGGCTCCTCGGGGACAATGCTCGAGCTTCTCGCTTTTGTGTCATGTCTCGTGTGACGGGGTCGGGGTGTGTTCACTGTTGAGCGTTCCCGACGTGGCGTGTTCGGTGGGCGTGTTCGATGTTGGCTAACGAGTGGTGTTTTCCGATAAATCAGTAAACAGTATTTTCTAGTCATAGTTTTTCAGTAAAGCGAGCAGGGCCATAGCGCTGCAGCTCACACATACTATTGCAAGTAATTTTGTCGCAAATTGTAAGTGAAACTCGAACTTTGATATATTTTTTTGGCTCCCATAGGAATGACAACAAAATTGTTTTATCTCAAAAGAAAAAGATATTTTACAAAGAAAAAAAAGGTTCCCATGAAAATGTTCGAGAAAAATATTTAGATCTAGAGCGTGCGAGAGAAAATTTCTTAGATGCCATCGAAAGCTATATCTATTCCTCATATGCCATCCAAAATTATATCCTCACTTCATTGCTATTAGTTTTATTTTTTCCTCCACTCATGTGCCACTAATGTCAATTTGCAAATACATTACCGTTAAGTGAAAATTGAAAATGCAATTTTTTTACCTGTATTAGAAACATATGGAAGCATTTTCTTTTTGATCATTCAGTTCTTCCGTGTCAGTGCCCTCAAGAACATTTATTAGATATATCGGTGTTCCTGGTTTTGTTCGCGCATCATTTAATTGTTGAAAAAAATATAAAATTGATACGAATGGCATATAATAAGGGATGAAAAAGCCTAAATGAATAGCAATAAAAAGAAGCTATAATTTCAACAAGTGGCATATAGTAAGAGATGAAAAAGTATGAAATGAATAGTAATGAAGGGAAGTCATAATTTTCAATGGCATATAAAGGATGTGCATAATTTTAGATGGCACTGATAGAATTTTTCTCTAGGATGTAACTCACGTCCTATGATAGCACAACGCCCGATTCTAAGACGTATTAGGTTCGGTTGCAACATGCGGGACACATCTGCTAATAAAGATAAAATAGAAAAATCTAATGGAAATACTTATATTCGAACTCATAACTTAGCTTTAGATATGACAGGGATTTCTCCACCAAGCTATTGTTGTATTTGTGACTCTGGTGTATAAGTCATACTACCAGCAAATACTTTCGTCCATTGAACAGAAAAAAGCTATCAGATGTTCAAGAAAAACAACGACAAAAATGCTACATGCCTATTTATGTTTTATTCTTTCTATAAATTTAAAATTATATGATTTATTTTATAATAATCATGACATCTACAATATAAGTTAATGTTGACAATAATAGGATTATGTCCTATTAAGCTTATATCAATTAAAATGCAACATTAATAGAATTTTTCTCTCTCACTATAAAGTACCAAAATATTTTCTCATAAATATATCATAGCCAAATTTTCATTACTATCCAATTGTTTGATTAGCTGAATCATCAGTTGATCCAAATTTTAATAACAATAAGTTTATTTTTTTAATCATAAGTACATCAACAACTTGGTGGTGGGATTTTTGTTTCTTAGAGAAAAGTCAATGGTTCAAAGGCCCACAATATTACATTTATTGTTTGTGACATTTATGAGAAAAAAGAAATCACAACATGAGCTACTAGAAAAGAAACAAATCCAGGAACCGGACGTAGAAAAAGAAAAAATGGCAAAAAAAAACGAATTAGGGTAAGATAAGATTGGATCTTGAGTCAACGGTACAACTGGTTTTACCAAACTAATCAAATCGCTAAGCGAGAGCTGAAGTGATTATTTGTCCATAGATACGCTAATGCCATCTTCACCTATTAAGATTGCAATACGGAGAATATGGAGAGGTAGTCACATCATATACTATGCTAACTAATCAAACTGCTAAGCGAGAGTTTAAGTGAGTCTTTGTCCATAGATACGCTAATGTCATCTTCACCGAAGATTGCAACATGGAGAATAGGGAGAGGTAGTCATGTCATATACTATGTAAACATAAAGAGTTTTTGTGGTCCATCACTCTCTTCCATATCTATATGAATTATAGCAACATGTCCAGACATGGTATGAAGTCCGATTATAAGACAATTAAAGCATGTTAGATAAATCACCAAGCCTCTCATGCCAATATGATTTAGAGAAGCACTTGGCACAGTATGATGTCCGATTTTGAGATGCATTGAAAAGAATGACACGAAAAATAAACCTCTAAGTTGCAAGTCGTCAAGTAAGCATGCAAGAGATGTGTCTAATTGCAACGCATTCCCTCAAGAGAATGCAATTCTAGATCTAGGATGTGTCATACTTTCTTAAGTTTGACCAAATTTATAGAAATTGATATTAACATTTATGTTCCAAATATGTTTACAATAAAAATATATCTCATAACAAATCTAATGATATTTATTTGGTATCATAAATGTTGGTAGTTTCTTGTATAAATTTGGTAAAACTTGAAATAGTTTGATTTTGCATGAAGTGAGAATTGCATTTTTTTTGAATGGAGGGAGCATTCGCTAGTCAATTAGAACATCCCAAATCGATACAAAAGTTTTTTTATTTGTTGAGTAAAAAGCTCTAACATGGATATACGACGTTCATGCCAAATCGATACCAACTTTTTTCCTTGATCGAGTACACATCTTTAAAATGGATATATGGCGTTCATGCCAAATCGATACCAACTTTTTTCCTTGAACGAGTACACAGCTTTAAAATGGATATATGGCGTTCATGCCAAATTGATACAAACTATTTTCCTGGTTGAGTACACAGCTTTAACACAGATATAGGACGTTCCTCCGAAATAAATGTTAAATAAACCATAAAGATTTAGCAGGGGTCAAATTATGAGCTATGAGGATCGCTTCACTTTTAGGACGGTTGGTGTGATAATTAAGTTTGATAGTACTAGAAAATATTGTGCGTGTTATCGTGGGAACTTCAAAGTGAATCGCTGCCTCTCTCCTGCTACCTAGCTGCTATGGATCGATCGTTGGGCTGATATCTTGATCTCTTGATTTCATCTAGTGTCCTAGTGAAGTATTGGATCATATGGTTCTGACCATGCTTGCTTGTGGCTTTACAGAATTTTCATCAGTTTTGTAAAATTGAATAGTTTCCTTGTCTTTGAAGCGTAGTCTTCTTGTCTTCTAAGTGCATAGGTGCAAATGCAATTTAATGTTTGAGCTTAGTGATTTGGTGGAGGCCTTGTGATGACATGGATCGCTCCAGGATGAGATGAGATGAGATGGAATCTATAGCGGGGATTAGTTTTATAAGACATAAGAGATATAAATGGATGAGTTGGCTATGAGATCAAAACTAAATTTGTGATATATGAAATATGCATCTATCAGCTCGAGATATGAACATTTATTTTGTTTGGTAAGTCTTTAAGTTCCAAGGCTAGCCTCAAAGCATGGTATCACATAGCTCTCTCTAGAGCTGTCATGTTATATAATATAACTATGATACGACAACCGCTACAAAAATAAATAAATTTTCTTGAATAACCTAAATCAAACTATCTTAAGTTTGATCAATTTTATAAGAAAGGTAACATCATCTATGACGCCAAATAAATATACTGTAAAAATATATGAATCATGTCTAGTGATACTAATTTAGTGTCATAAATATTATTAATCTTCTTTTGGTAAGTTCGATAAAACCTAAATTAGTTCGGTTTAGAACAACTTTAGAATTTGATTTATTTTGGGACAATTTTGGGACAGGGAGTACCTTAACTCTATCTCTATCCTTGTTAACTTACTGTCAATTCAGCAAAATCATAAGCGGTAGACTAATAAATGTATAGGATTATATCATACTCCCTCCTTCCCTAAATACTATCATTGGGGAACAATTAGATGTCCCCAATTAACTGTCATTGCCTATTCACGTGGGCCTCACCCGTAGTTGTACCGCACTGTCGAGTAGGCATCCTTATCCCTTCACCTCCCCCACATGGCCTCACATAGCACGCACAATCTCGGCTATTTTTTATGAGAGAAATAAATAAGCACAACTAATTTTAGGAGAGAGAGGATAGAGAGAATTAGAACCAGTCCACTCAATTTTGGATAGAAATAGATGTGCTTACCTTGATGAATTTCTTCTTGTTCGTCATTCTCATTAGGATGGACATCCAAGTGGTCAGCTCCCCCAACTTCAACTGCAGCTACTACATCTTCCAAGGGATCATGATCCTCTTCATGTTCATGTTGAGCAGGACTCCTGTTGAGATCAGGCACCTCATCTCCTCCCTCCTCTGGTAGTGTGTTTAAGTCTATTGCCATGAAAGATGGATGAGAGGTGAATGGTTCAAAAGCAAAGGCAACGAAAGGGTTACTAGGCTTTTTATTGCCACTGGTGTTAGAGAAATGGTGCGCGGGGCAATAGTTTCAAATTTTAGTTTGCTCTTGCTATGTAAAAATGGAGCGCAGATTTGTTTTGGCGCTAAGTGGTGTCTGTCGCGAAGTGAAATGCATGTTTTCGTGTCCTCTTTGATTTGTTTAAGGCTAAAATACTGTATTGCATTTTTAAATGTGAAAAAGTGGATGTGAGCACTGATTTGTTCAATGTAAAAAACATTGTTGTGTGTAGCACGTGTGCTTCTTCACGCCATAGATATAACACTAATGACATGTCCATCCAAATGTGCAGATGACATATCATTTGCTATAAGGAGCGTTAGGGTCTTTTGCTATTTTAAAATGGTTACTGGGTTCAGTTCTCCGGTAACAAATATTAAGGGATTGAGGGAGTATAGTACTCAGACGGAGAGCTCCTACATGCAATTCAAGAGGAACTCGTGAAATAATTGAATATGTGCCTGCTAGGTTTTAAATTAATGTCTTTTGTACCGGCATCTTACCATAAATAAAAATATTAATCTAATTCGAATACTTCTCGCTTAGTGGCCCAAATAGAATCATGTATGGAGTTATTTTACTGAATAATAGAAAGAAGGAGCCGCGACACAAGTAGTTCATGCAGTCCAAAACAAATGGCAAGCTAATACAAAGCTGGTTTTGCAGGATGACAAGTGATGCATGGATCTCTCGCCAGCCACAGCCTGTTCGCTTGCTCGTAAACGATCGTAAATTTTCAGTCGGGAATAGTGTTTTTCTCTCACACAAAACCAGCCAGCAGTAAATAATCCACGATACGATACGGTCTCCCGAACAGGCTGAGCCGTTGCAGTCAACTGGGAAACATAATCGTTGTCGGCCTAACTAGGCTTTGCTGCTCCTTAGCCTCTCGAGGCTGTTTGTTCTCTAGACAGATGTAGGAGTACTAGTAGTTTGTCCCTCTCAAGTTTGGCCTTATTTGATAGAGCTCCTACCGGCTTCAATCAGCTTTTCTGACGCATCATTGTTCATACATTATTCACAGAAACTCTTTTTTCTCTTCTCTTCTTCTCTCACGAAGTGAGAGCAGGGGAAGCCAAAAAAAAAAACTGTCTTCTTCTGCTCCCACTAGCTAGGAGAGATGAGAGAAAAATAGCTTTTCTGTGAATAGTAAATGCGTCAGAGAAGCTAGAGCCGGTAGAAGTTCTACTAAACGGGGCCTTAGTAGTTGCAAGTGTTATTCCAGAAACGAGCCGGTTTAGTTGTATATATATTGTGTACGCTTCTTTGGCACTACCTGTTGTTGTAGTGTCAGCCTTCTGTGCTGCCTGTGTTTGCTCCATTGTTTGCATCTCTGCGAGCTCAATAGATGGAACAAATTCTTGCTACATTGTTTGTTGAACAGAATTCAGTGTGTACTATTCGTCAGTTTAAGCTTAATAGTCTGTACTAGCCCAACGCCGCCGCAGAGACAGTCTGTACTACTCGTCGATTTAAAAGTGTTTGGTTCGGGGATTAGAACATCCTAAGTGGGGTATCCCATTTTAAAGTTATGTTTGGTTATGTGATAGTGAGCCAGAGACATCCCATTAGGCTCTTTTTTTCAAAGATAGTCATCCCACCTGGGATAAACATTCGTTCGCTCGAGCACAGGAGGTGAGGAGCTCCACCCATCCCACACGGGCGAACTCCACGCCCTAGACCCACATGTCAGGTGGGCGATTGCACTTTTGTTGTCCCCAAACCAAAAAAAAACAGGAACACTCTCGTATCCTTCAACAAAAGACCAGACGAACTGTTCCCTCTCTAGAATAAGAGACATAACCATCCCACTCTACCTTGTCTTCTAACGAAACACTACATAGAACCAGCCTAAGGGCTCATGCCTCAAAAAGGGCAAGGGTTGGAGCTAGATTTTACTAATCAAAGAGTAGAGAGTGGAATGGATTTGATTAGGACCCTCACCAAATAGCTAAGACCTTGTTTGACTGCATCTAATCCACTCTAATCCATATGTACTGGAGTGGATCCACCTCAATACATGTGGATTGAAGTGCAGTCAAACAAGACAAGCCGGGTAGGGTTAGGATGAATCAATCCATTAACAGGCCTAGCGGTGCGTTTTCAAGGTGCTAATCCATAACCTGTTGGGCCTGATTGGGTTAATTACTATGATCTAAGTAGGGAACATACTTAGAGCCAGTTTGAATGAGCTAGGACTAGTTACTAGTTGGACTAAAAATTAGTTTAAATTAGCTAAATTTAGTTAGCTAGGTGACTAAAAACTAGTTGAAGACTTACCTAAAATATTAGCCTATCTATTAGCCCTTTTGTTTATATGCACTAGATTTAATTTTAGCTAATTTTTAGCTAGCTAGTAATTAGCTCTTGTCTCTTGATCTGCTCTCCCTGCGTGCAGAAGGGGTTGAACGATGATCATCTAAGCTTGAACCGGCGGCTGCCGCTTAGCTAACGATACGAGGAGCGAAGACTTTTTATTCTGAACCCCCGTCAAAAGCAAGAATGGTACTAAAAAAATATCCTGAACACAAATGCACACAAAAAAATTATGATATATCACAACTATTTATGCACAGCTTCATCTTTCCAGGCATCAACACCCCTATCAGGTTCAAATCCATAGGGAAATCTTGAAAGAAATCGATAAACAGTTTATTCACATGTTGGTTTCAGCAAGAGCTTATTAGCCGGTTAATAATTTTTTTTTTTTCATAACAAACTAGTACCGGCCGAATTTATTAGCTTAGAAACCCGCTAGCGAACAGTACGAAAGTTTGGAAAGGGTCAGCAGCGCCTATGTCGGCGATTTTTGGGGAAGCAGGCGAAATTTGGCACCGTGCTGCGCCGTGAAGAAGAAGAGGTCTGCCCACCTTGCAGGAGAGGAGGCGGAGAAGGTATGGGCCACCACCGTAACGTTGTGAAGGGGAGGGCCCGACCGGGCTGCCGCTCCGGAGTAAGGGTTGCCACCGGGACGCTGTCGATCTGCGGAGCTGCCGCGTATGCATTGTGGCGTTCGTCTCTGCAACTCCTTCTTGCTCGCCGCCGCGGAGGGCCATGAGGCGCGACGAGAGCGCGAGGTCGCCACTGCGGAGGGCGAGGTTGGACGCAGCTAGGAGGCAGTGGAGGAACGGGAGTTGCCGCAGGCTGCAGTTCGCGCCGACAAGGTGAAGTCTGCGGGCCGCGTTCTCTGCAGACTCGGACACCGCGGCAGCTGATGGCACCAGCAGCACGACGCAGCCATTCATGGCAGTCCACTTCCCAAGGAGCTGGACCACTTCATCTTCACGCTCAACACGTCCATGGTCTTCCGTCAATGGCACCACTCCCAGAGCCGAACCAAACGGATAGCGTTTTTCGTTTCCCTACAACACACTGTCAGCTGATTGCATTGCCGTTTCTGTAATTCCTATTGAACCAGATAGCACCTAGATTGCAATGGCATGGTCGCAGGATTTGGACGCGGAAACTGCGGATACACGAAGGAGACAAAGGCACAGAGCTGGCACGGAGGAGATAAGGCCCATTCGGTTGTTTTATAATCCGTATTTTTTAACTTATTTTTTTTAATCAAAACTGTATTTTTCTCTCCCAACAAATAAACAGTATTTCGATTTATTTTTTTTCCAGCGAAACGAACGTATTCCTAGGAGAGAGAAAGTACTGTTTTACTTTTTAAATTTATTTTGAAAATAATTCCTCGCTCATATATCTTTGGTTTCGGACCCATATATTTCAGGTTCGGACCCACGACTTGCTGTATTGGAGCCACCTGGTCTGTCAAAATGGACGGCTCTAATTTTCTCCACTGTAAAAATGGACGGCTCTAATTTTCTCCACTGTAAAATTTCACAATAAATAAATATAGCGTTTGGCAGCTCTGAGATGACAATCGCAGGTCAAATTCAATTTCCCACCAATCCCAAATATCTGGACAACAACAATCTGATCAATGCGATTTGTTAGCAAAGAATTGACAACTGTTTACATGATCTCAACCTACAACATTTGGCAACCAATCATCACATCTCTGCTCCGAAATGTGGAGCAAAGCTGAACCCAACAGATCTGAGAAAGAACTGAGTTACATCTCTAGACGAATCCTCTCAAAATTACAACGAAATCATCACATCACCATTCCTCAGCCATCAACAGCACACCAAGAAGGCAAGAGCCAACAGAAGATCGGGACAAATGGTTACGGGGAGGGGAATACACCTGCGGGAACGGGAGGGGCGCATCAGAGGAAGCCGAGGAGGACGGCGGCGCCGAGCACGAAGAGCCAGACGATGTGGACGAGCAACAGCGCCTGGCCCGAGACGGGCGCGGAGCCGGCTCCGACCTCGCAGTAGCCGCGGCGCGCCACGCGGGCCCCCGCGCAGGTCGCCTCGGGGCAGCCGCACCAGTACGTGACCCCGTCGGCGCCGCAGACCGGGTCCGGCCGGAAGCACCGCACCGGGCACAGCGGGACGTCGCCGTCCCCGTCCGCGACGGCGGCCGCGCAGGGGTCGCCGGACTCCGCCGCCGCCGAAGCCGCGGCGGGGGAGGCTAGGGTTTGCGCGAGGAGGAGCGAGAGCGTGGCGAGGAGGATGAGGTGGACGAGGCGGGAGGGCGGCATGCCGGGCGTCGCCGGCGGCCGATGGTCGCCGGAGAGGGGCGGGCCGGGAGGCACGGCGGCCTTCGGGGTCCGTGAGGAGGCGGCCGCGGCGGTGGGGACGGATTCCCTTGAAATTACGGGCGCGGTGGAACCCGTCGGCGCTTTGAGAAGTTTCCGTTGGCGACCGACTCGGTGGGTGGGTTGGGTTGGACTTGGCTGGACCGCGTTGGCGTTGGGTTGGCCGCCTTGCTCTTGTTCCTTTTCGCCATGCCCCAGAATAGCAATTGCCGATTTTTGGCTGATCGGAGTTTAATTAAGGCACGCGCAACCTGCAAGTCTGCAACGAGGGATCCGCAAAAATACTCCATATTGGTAATATTAAGAAGATAATTTACGGGATTCTCTCGTTCTTTCTTTCTTTTTTCTTCATCAAAGTGACTCCCTCCCTAATTCATTTTTTAACAAAAAGAAAAAAAAACAAGCCTCCAACAGTTTTATATCTAAACTCCTTAATAAAAATAAGCGAGTAAATCTCCTTGACTCCTAAATATGCGCTTGACATCTGTCCTAACGTCCTCTGCGCCGCTTTTCAATTTTTAGGAAGCTAGTAATTATTAGAAAGTATTAGAAAAGGGTAAAAATAGAATTAAATATTTATCCTGTCCACTTATAATCATTGGTTACCGAGTAAGGGCATGTTCGGTACAACTTATAAGCTGTTTATGACCAAAATAAGCTGAAATCAGTAGCCAAACACTACGCTTTTCAGTAGCTTATTCTGGCCACGCTTATTCCTACAGCTCCCACCATTTGTACTAAAAAGCAGAAGCTGGATCAGACCAGCTTATTTTGACCGTCGCTTTTACTCTGTTTGTGCAGCTTATCTGGGAAACGCTTTCCAGATATGTTGTACCAAACATGGCCTAATTTTCAAGGAGCTTTTAAAGATGCTCAAACGATAATTTCGATTCGTTACATTATGCCGGGGAATGTTAACTGAAAAGGTTGTTATTTTGTTAAAGATTGCCTCCTCAGTAAGTGAAAGCGAAGGGATACTTTACCATTCACCTGCTGGCCTGCATGAGATATACCTTACTTTAGCCTGAATCATTCGTGCTTTGTTCGCTTTCGCTTTCTTCGATGAGTTGGCTAAATTTGCTTTTGACGATTCCAATCTAAGCCGTGGTGCTAGCTATGCGAATATGCGACATAGGGCCACGTTTACAGAAGTCTTGCTAGCCATACGGAAAATAACAGAGTGTACAACCTCAAAAACTAGTTGAAATCCTGTCCACAGCTCCTGGTTCGAGCAGAAACGCACTCGGGTGCGTAACTGGTAGAGAGGCAAGCAATTCATCCAGGTGGAGAAAACTGCTTGGTGCTCAAGGGATGACAACAGGCATAGGGCAAGTTAATGGAAAACGCAAGCGCCGTTATTTCACCAGAATGTAAACAACATGGCCCTGATAACTCCTGTCTAGATTCAAACTTCCATGAACCGATGAACGGAACCTAGTTTCATTAGGTACATCTATGAAATTTTACATCGCGCTGAAAGTAAAATCTGACAATTTTTGGCCACGTCCAGTTCGTCAGCCTAAAGGGATCAAAGATTTCAAAAAAACCGAAAGATGAAACAAGTTCGGGCCTAGCAAGGGTGTTTCTTAGTCAGCATCCATCTCCTCAAGAGCTGCCTGAGCAGCGGCCTTGGCCTGCTCCAACAGTTCATTTGGAACCTGTATGTCAAGCGAGGAAAAAAAGGTACAATAAAATTCAAGTTCAAAAATATCCAGAGACCCTTCTTCATGTGAATATCCCACAGTACCTTCTGATGCTGGCGCTTCGATTCATCACATATCCAGCTCAACTCCAACTCAAAAGCTTTGTCCTTCGCTTCGTCATGCACTCCATAAATTCTGCATTGAGCAGGTTTTGTCAGAATGCAAATTTTGAACAGCGGCCTTTTCAGGTTCATTTTTCATCAATTATAAGCAGGAATATAAAAGAAACTCGGCAATATCTTTATCGTTAGATACCAAAGTTAAAACAAACACAACTTAGGATCACTTGAGATAAGATGCAAACTATCATGTACCTCTTCTGTAATAAGAGTTGATTTTAAGATTGTTTATGCCAATACTTTGCAGTATTATCAAACTAATACAGTGCAATCATTATATTGCTAAGCACTAAGCAGTTTTTTACTAATAACACTTCTACCAGCAAACTTTTGATATAAAAAAGTTTAGTATAAAAGGAATGTACTCACAGAATGACGGAAGTTCTTATAATGACTAAACAATGATAACCGGGTAAACCCTTTGCCAGAAAGGCTAATGCACAAATATGAGCAATAGCTTTCTAGAATGAAATGAAACAACGAATGAATCCAATTAATCAAAAGAAAAATCAATGCCAGCAAGGCTAAACAGGCATTCAGGTAAAAAAAAGTAAAACTTCAAAAATCGTTAATCGTTAAGTGGCAAATTGTACAGTTATGGGAAAAGAGACTTGTACATACATCTTTGCAACTTCAACGATGCCTTCTCGGCACGTAAGCTCAGAAAGCTTCAACTTCTCTATCTCACTGCAAGAGAACATGCAAACAGTAGGGTTCAGAATCATTCTGAGGTGCATCCATAAGATAAAAGAAGTATGCACAGAAACAAGAACAATCCCAAAGGTAAATTTAATACAATGGCAATTGACAAATATTCATGTTAGCAAGATTATGGAACACAGGCTTGTACTTTGATCAGATTATTTCAGCAGTCAATATTTCATTGGAAATAAAGGGAAGGATATACATAAAAACTAAGGTGAAATAAAATTTGAGTCCAATTATATACATGAATCCTGCCTATGCTTTAATGTTAACTCTAATCAATGAACATAAAAAAGGAATCATATGCAGGAGATCATTGAGCGATGTAACAGTATAGTCAATATTCTATATCAATATGCTAACGTTGGCATCCAGATTTTTAACTTCTGTTCACAAAAGCAGCACAAAAGAGTGAAAAAAACATTGTATCTGTCAAACAATTCATATTATTGAATGCTAAGATGATAGTTGGAGGATACTCCTTTCTCTTGTTGCTTTCTTTCTCGGTAAGCAACTCCCTCCAGTCACAAATGTGACATTTTGAGGTTGTCCTAAGTCAATCAGTCTAAATTTTGGTTGTATATTGATTTATGTGTTGGTTTTGGGTAATTGAATGTGATATGAGAAGTTTTATCTTGAAATTTATTTTCTTAAAAGTATTGTTTCTATGTTTTAGAACTATTTTATAACAAAAAAGATACAAGTAAAAGCTGTGTTTTGAAGACTGACAGTGTCCAAAGCATCACTTATTCGTGACTGGAGGGAGCACGTTGTAATAAAATGAAGTTTACATTAAAAGGCAATAAATATTTATCATATTATGTTTTTATATACATTGGAAAGTGATTTGCAACAGAAGAACAAGAAACAAAGAGAACATTAAAAACCAAAAGAACTGGCAGGCTTACGTCTTTGCAGCCTGTCTTCCCTTCCCCAATGCAGCACCAAAGTATTTCTGGTCAAATTTGAAAGTCAATAAACATTGTATTTCAAATTCACAAGGTTTCTAATATGTAATGCCAATAAAGAAAGCATCATCCATACTGAACATGAATGAACGGCTGAAAGGGGATATAACTCATGTAAAAATTAAACAATGAGCATATGCACTCGCATTGATACAACTCTAGCTGTAATACAGTAACAGCTTACATAGGAGACTCCTGAGGGCTCAATTATGTAGAGCTGTGGCCCATCCCTATCATAGCCTCCAAGAATAACACCGCAACCAAAAGGCCTGATACAACAGAGACCAAGTTAAGGTTGACTCCAGTAGTCCAGTAGCCAAAAATAGTGTTTGATGAATACAAGTCATGTCTCCAGTAATTATGGAGCACTCTGTTGAATATATATTACCTGAGCCACCAGTACAGTGTACAAAGATGAACATAACTTGCCACACGATCTGCCAAATCCTTCACAGAAATGGGTTCCCCGTAGACCCTGGTGCATTAATGTTTTAAAACATAATCATATAAAAAGATCTCGCATGGTCTAAAAGATTAAATGCTTACTTTTCATAACTGGCTGCTTCTGATTTGGCCCTTGAAACAATTTGCCTTCCATCTGCTGCTAAACCAGCAACAGCCTTGCAAACGAAAATAAAGCAATTTGTAATAAGAAAAAAAATCTCAATAGATACAACATCTTTGCTACTTTACATCAGCAACTGATTGTATAGGAAAACAGATAATAGAGCATGCTTTTACAATCTTGCTCCTATATTAGGACAAGTTAGAATACCAAAGCAGAGATGCAATCTTGCACATATATTAATTCATTCATCAAAAGCATGGTTTTACATCAAAATCACTATCATTTTTGAGTTACATGTAAAGGCATTACCAAGCCAGAGTGGTGGTACACTGAATGGATCCTTCGGTTGGAACCCTCCAGTATCATCTTTGAAGTCACCAGCTTCTCTACACCCTAAAGGACCAATCACCAAATCACAATCTAGTCAACGCATAAGAGGAGCCCCATCAACTTACAAGCTGAATGGAGCGAAAGTAAATAGTCCCGATCTTACCAGGACAATGCCATCTTTGCACTTGATCCCAACAACAGTCCTAGAAAAAGATTGAGTATCACAATAAGACTACAGTGTCAAAGCGAATAAGCGAAGCAAAACAGGATAGGGAGTGGCAAACGGTGGAATCTAACCCGCTGTTGTCGACAGCCTTGGTAGCGTACTCGACCTGGAAGACACGGCCATCCGGAGAGAAGGTGGTAACAGACAGGTCGTAACCTGTGCCTATGCTGCTCATTGTCAAGCTTTGTTCGTCACCTGTACGCCGTTAGTAAGGAGATCAATCCTGCAAACAAAATACCAAAACCCCAGTGAAATAATTCAGTAAAAAACACATATCACCACTACACAATATCACACGGTGGATAAAACTGCCAGGGGGCAAAT